TACTCAAAAAAGTAGCGCCATCCCAGCCTGGAGAAAAAGAATTGAGGACCGTATCGCAAAGGCAAGGGCCCTTATCGGCAGACTGACAAGCTTCAGGTCGGGTAATAATAGACCGAGGATTATGCGCACCGTTAGGATGGCGTTTGCTGGGACAAATATCAGTTTGTTCCAACCGGTTATCACGCAAAAACTAACGGAGCGCATAGCTTCAGGTCATGAAGCAAAAAATCGCTGCTTGGGGGAAGCGGATTCGACGATTTAGCGAGAGGTCAAGGCGGTTCAACCAGAATCGTCTCTTCCAGAGTGATCAGAAGAGGCTCTGTAAATCATGCGACCAGAGGTATGTGGAGCGGGCCCAGGACCGGATCAGACCGACACTGTCGCATTTTGGCGTGGCCTGTGGTCAGAGCCCGTAAACCACAGCGAGGGCCCTTGGATGGAAGTTGTGGCGAGCCAGAGTGCAAGTGTTACGCCTATGGACCCCGTCACCATAACGCCTGAAGACGTGGCTGTGGCGGTCCGTAGGGCCCCGAACTGGAAAAGTCCGGGGCTCGACGGGCTGCATCATTACTGGCTGAAGGGGTTCGTAGTGTGTCACGCTGTGCTCGCCCGACAGTTTCAAGAGGCTCTCGATCAGAAGTCGCTCCCGAGCCTCTTCACTACTGGGATAACTCATTTGGTTCCTAAAGATCAGGATACCACAGACCCGAGCAAATACCGCCCCATCACGTGTCTACCCACCATATATAAGACACTGACATCCATTTTGAGCGCGAGAATCATTCGTCACCTGGAGCTAAATCAGGTGATGTCACGCGCTCAAAATGGATGCCGGGGCGGTGGTCGTGGAACCAAGGAACCACTCCCATTGACGCGTCATTGGCAAAGTGGTGAAACGCAACCGTCGGAATTTCTCCGCCGCCTGGATAGACTACAGAAAGGCATTCGACTCGGTACCCCATACATGGCTAAAGAGAGTCCTCCGGCTGTACGAAATTGACTGTACAGTTGGAGACTTCCTCGAGCAGTGTATGGGGCAATGGAGTACGATCCTTTGCTATCTGGGCGAGCGGATGATGGCTGCGGAGAACCACATAAGGATAAGAAGGAGTATCTTCCAGGGCGATTTTCTGAGTCTAATCTGGTTTTGTCTCTCCCTGAACCCTCTCAGTACTTAACTGGAGGGCTCCGGGAGGGGATTTCAGCTTCTGAAAGGAGGTACAAAAGTGCTCACCATGCATAATCGCGAAGTGTGCAGTCTCCTTCAATACTTCTTGGCGAGATCGGATGATCCATTCTATAATGACGTCATTTCTAGTGATAAAGGGCTTACCCCTCTATCCTTAGCCAACGAGCAATGGCAGGACCCAGCAGTGCTTAGCATTTCCGACCGGGAGTCCCTATGGAAGGAGAAGGAGCTCCACGGGAGGTACTACAAGGCTCTACATGAGCCCTTCGTAGATACAGTCGCCTCCCTCAACTGGCTACGTTTCGGTGATCTCTTCGGGGGAAACCGAGGGTTTTGTCTGTGCAATACAGGATCGGGTTATTATAATAATAATAATAATAATAAATCTTTATTTCAGACCAGGGTCCATATTTGGTTAGTAGAAAAGAAAAAACAAAACAAAACGAAGAAAAAAAAAAAATGAAAAAATCAATCAATAAAAAGGAAAATAAATTAAAAATAAATTAAAATAAATTAAAATTAACTAAAATTAAATATAATTACTAACTACTACTAAGATTAACTAACTAACATTAAATACACACACGCTTGTTAGCATATGTGTGTGCACCATTCCAACTCCTCCAGAGTGGGCTGTCGAGTTTGCACGCCAAAGTGCTGAGAAGGGCATTGGTGCTGTTCACTAAACGGCCCATCATGGATGCAACACGTTTCCGGAAGATCGCGTAGAAGTCGTCTACACGAGCCTCCGCAAACATTGCAGATGCACTGCAGTGACGTGGCTTCCCCAATACCGCTCTCAGCACATTGTTGTACTGCACACGAAGAGTTCTGAAGGTCCGCTGCGTATAGTCCGCCCACAGACTGCACGTGTAAAAAGTCTGGCAGTAGGCTCTAAACAGCGTTAATTTTACCTCTGCATTACAACGCGCAAATCTGCGGGCCAACATATTGCCCCGGACCGACAGCGCCCTTCGCTCCCTCTCTATATCACCGTCGTCCACGAGGCGCTCGTTAACTATATGGCCGAGATATTTGAACTCCGCCACCTGTTTCAGGGGAATACCACACAATCGTATGATTGGCTGAAAATTGGTGGGTTTGTTTTTTCCCCCTGAACACAAGGAACTCGCTCTTTTTGGCGTTGTATCTGAGTCCATTTCTCTCAGCATAGTCCTCACATATTTTAAGTAGCTTCCGGAGGCCACTGACCGAAGGACTAAGCAGAACCATGTCATCCGCATAGCTGATGTTGTTTATAAAGACACCATCAACTGAGCATCCGACACCAGCTCTGCTCAGCCCCTCTATCAGCTGGTTGACAAAAAGATTGAACAGCCTCGGTGACGTAAGCCCACCCTGCCTTACTCCACAGTTCAGCTTGTAGGGGTCACTCATAGCGTCTCCCCCATTTTACTACATTTGACTGGTTACCGTACCAGTACTGCAACAACGATAACAGTTCCGGCCTTAGGCTCGTTTCCGTCCTAAGTTTATGCCATAGTACTTTATACGAGACAAGGTCAAATGCTTTTGACAGGTCCAAGAAGCACGCATACACTTGCGTTTTCCTGTCAGTGTAGTACCGTACAGTCTGCTTGAGACACATTATTGCGCTCTCGGTAGACAATTCGGGCTGAAAGCCGAATTGAGCGTCGTTAATTTTAGTAGCTTTCTTTAAATGTGTATCAAGCAGACTGTCCAGAACTTTAGCCACGATTGTCGCTAGGGATATAGGCCTGTAGTTGGACCTATCCGCTACATTGCCCGTCCTGTTCTTCACTATAGGCACGACCACCGTCATCATCATTGCATCCGGCAGGTGACCATGACTGACACAGAGGTTATAGAGCATGGTAAGGACTCTGGAAAGGTGCACTCCAGCATATCGCAAGTGTTCGACACTCAGGCCATCATGCCCCGGGGATCTCCCCCCGCTTCATACTCCTTATTGCGTCATTTACCTCACAAACAGAGAAGCTCAATGAGTCTACCCAAGGGTCTACGGTGTCCCGAGCCCCGTCCACTGTTTGACCTACTATACTTAGGGGTTCCACCCTGAAGTGAGTCTTAAACATATTAGCAATGTTTTGACTCTCTGTTATGCCTCCCACTTCCACAGGAAGGCCCGCCCGTGCATTCAGTCTATTTGTTTGTTGCCAGAACCTACTAAACTGCTTAGTCTCGTGTGTAGAGGCTAAAATGTCCATTTTTAATTGATCTTCATGGTCCTGGCACCATTTTAGTTTATTTTTTGAAAAGCCTACGAGACTCCCGCATATCGTCGTATGTAACTCCACTACTCGGCCTCCCAGCCATAACCCACGACTGAAAACACAGACGAGCTCTCCCGTGTAGTGGCCTTACATGCCTATTCCACCCCGTAATATAACCTTTTTTATTTCCCCTTACAATTTTATGACTAACTATTGCCCCTGACTGCAATATGCTTACAATATGAGAGTACATATTATCGATAACTAGTTTATGTTCATCTTTACAACAGGTTTTGCCACAACATTTCGTAAGCTCCATAGGAAAAACTACTTTACTTAGCTTCTCATCACAAGTTTTCGTAAATAGCTTAGTCTGGTCACTATCCCTCTGCCCCCAAAATATCTTATTATTAGAAACTCGAGATGATGGTACCAACTGAGTATGTAAGGGGTTTAAGTTACAAACAATTTCCAAAGGATAGTGATCAGACCACGAGACACTGTTATTTACGGTTATATTCTCAATGTAACCCCTAGCCATCCTAGTTACTAAACAATGGTCAAGCCAACGTGTACATCAGTGAACATCACTAATGTAGGTATACGTCTCCCCATTGTTTGGCAAAAGTTCAAAGTCCGCACAACACCATTTTTGTTCAACACAAAATTGCTGCATTTCATTAAAAAATAATTCACCTGGTTGAGCATTAAAGTCTCCTAATACAACTACCATACTAATACCACTGTCCTCAACAACCGCATTAATCTCGCTCAAACAGTCTGTGAATTCTGGCAAGTTGTCAGTACAGTCAGTAGGCATGTATACCGAGAATATCAACAGATCACATTCACGCAATTTACACTTTATAGCGCAGAGCCTCGCATTATTGCACTTCACAACAGATACCGCCGTAAACGCACTCTTACGCCATAACAGCGCGACGCCCCCGAAGGGACGGCCGCGTAACATGCCTGCACTCGTATCTACCGCTGACGTCCCTGTGGCTACAAACTCGTCATTAACAGTACTTAGGTAGGCCAAATCATGCGGTAGCAACCAAGTTTCCTGCAGCGCAACCACGTCCGCTGCCACACAAATACTTCTCACACTATCTATTGATCGCTTTAGTGACTTACAGTTAAAGCTAGTTAGCTTTAATTTATAATTATTCTCTCTAATTGACTTCTGATCCATCATTTTTATTATTTTTCCTCGTATCCCGATCTGTAGGTGTTTTCCTACCCTTTCTAAATATTATATATTTTCTGAAGTATATACCTTCCGGCCACAATTCATTATTTGTAAACAAAGACAATTTACTTTTAGGTATACAGAATTTAAATGATGTGTAATCTTTTTCCGCTTTATTATTATTCTTCACTCTCTCCGGCAGTATATGTATATGTGTTTTCTCATATACATATTCGGCAATATCCCGCTCTGTGGCGTCTTTATCGACGTTGTAAATAAACAACGGAATCTGCACCTCCGCCGCCCTGAATTTCCCCAGCGGGTTTATCACAGCTGTTCCTCTCGACCCCTTAAACCTTGACTTTTTACGCTTTTCAACTCGTATCCATTCCCCATCAATTAC